CCACACACACACACACACATACACACTGCCTCTTCCTCCCTCACCAGGTCTAGACAACCCCACAGAAGTGACTTTCTTGTGACAAGGGGGCTGGAGGCTTGAAGCCGTCTGGGCCGCAGCGGCACCCTCGTCCCCCGAGCAGGGCAGACAGGGCAGGACCCTGTGGGTCCTGGAGCTCAGCCAGTCTCCCCACCGCTGTCCCAGGCTTGCTTGCTGCTTCTCTGAGGAGTGGGGGAGGCTGAGCGAGTCCCCAGCGCCTGGGGAGGGCGGGGCCTTCACACCAGCTTTGGTGAATTCACACCTCTGCTGGCGTCTGGCGGCTCGGGACAGCTTCACACGTGGGCTGCTAGCACAACACAACCCTGCGGTCTCGAGAGCCCCAGGATATCGGCGCCCCCTCTAAGCGTATTTCAGGCACCGGGCTCTGCGCTCCGCTGCCCTCCCCTCCCTGGCGCTGCCCTCCGGCCTGGCTCTGGTGGAGGTGTGACTCCCACATGCATATTCATGAGCGTGTTTGCAGGGTGCGTCACGGATAACCAGCTGGAGCAGCGGGGGAGGGGCTGCCTCCCTCTGGCTCGGTGCCACCTGCCACTGGCGCTGAGGGAACCCCTGGCTGCAGAGAAGCCCCAGGGGCTGGGCACCGTGGGCACGGAGGGAACTCGGGGAGAAGGCGGCCCAGGCTCCGCAGCAGCCTCCTGGCCAGACCCCAGGCCCAGAGTGGGTGCTGGTGCGAGCGGAGCCCTGGCACGCAGGGGGGGAGAGCCCCGAGGCCGAGGGACCTTGCGGGACCCGTCAATGTGCAGGGAGACAGGAGGGTGTGGAGGCAGAGGGGAGCCCAGTGGTGGCACTTCCTGGGTCACAGGTTCCGTGGAGCGGCCAGAGTGCCGGGAGGGCAGGCGTGTGTGTGTGTGTACGTCTGTTTGTGTGCATGTCTGTGTATGCACGTGTCTGTGTGTCTGTCCATGTGGGCATGTCTGTGTGTCTGTACATGCGTGTCTGTACATGCGTGTCTGTGCACATCTGTGTGTGCACGTGTCTGTGTGTGTATCTGCCTGGCTTGCCCGCCAGCCCTGTTCCCTGTGGGAGTGGGTGGGGGCAGAGCTGGGAGCCCAGGGGGGTCGGGCAGGCGGTGACCCGAGCTGCTGCACAGGAGCTGGAGTTCCTGCGCGTGGCCAAGAAGGAGAAGCTGCGGGAAGCCACGGAGGCGAAGCGCAACCTGCGGAAGGAGATCGAGCGCCTCCGCGCCGAGAACGAGAAGAAGATGAAAGAGGCCAACGAGGCGCGGCTGCGCCTGAA